AAATTTATAATATATTTGATTAATCCTACATCGAAAATAGAAGAAGAATTGAATAGAATTAGATGACTATCATTATTTTCGACCTAGACATTTTATCCCCTTAAGATGGATCATCGCTATAATATGGAAGCATTGCCCACATATACCATGTTAGTACTCAAATTTATAATACACTTGATTAATTCTACATCAAAAATAGAAGAAGAATTGAATAGAATTAGATGACTCATTAATTTCGACCTAGACATTTTATCCCCTCGATATGGATCGTCGCGAGGTTAGTTGGTAGTTGGTGTCATATGGCCAGCGGGATGGTGATAGAATTGGTTGGGTGTGAGATGCCATTGATGCCAAAAGCTCTATTTATGGACCTGTTGCAAACAATAATATAAGAAGACTGCATAGGACCACAGGGAATTGGAGTCGCTTTCTCCAGTAAGTGGCTGCTTTAAAGAACTGTAAGCGTGTCAAAACGAGGCTCAACATATCGCAAGCAATCATTGATTTATTGCTTGTAATGCGTAATAAGTGAGAGTACCTTATGCAAGTCAACCATATGTAGCTTGACCAGAAAGATCTGAGGATGGATTGCCACCAAACTATGGCAACTTTGGCAAGAGAAGGACTATTTGAATCTATGAACCATTGAATTAGAAAAAAGAAGGCAAACAATTTGGTACACTGCAAATTAAATTACCTAAGTACATTTGTCAGCTTTATACATTTGAAGGATCCAAAGTGCTTCACCTGTTGAGACTTCCTTGAACTGCAAGGATGCATCATCTAACGAGGTTCACTGTTATATACACTTCAACATGAACTATGAACAGATCAAGCTATAGTCATATGAACAAGAGGAGATTTTGATTAGTGCTGGAAGCAATTGAATGGAACTGCAAAGAATCAGCAGGGCGTCAGGACACGAAGCGACTGAACTAACTAAGATTGATGTTGACTTGCTCTGGCATCGCTCTTTCGGTCTGCTGTGCAGGAAGTTCAGTGCCGAGCTGCCCCTTATCACCCGCTCCGAATGCATACAGTTTCCCGGAATCTGTTAGAGCAAAGGTATGCGCGTTCCAGTAGACCGAGTTGGTGAGACTAATCTGCACTACCCTCTCATTGATGTTCTTAAGTGAAGTCACTAATTTTGGGCTGAGTACATTGGCATGCCTGTTACCCTGCAAACAAGACAAAGCTTGGAATTAGCTGACATTATCGAAATTGCTCGGGCAACGCTAAGACTGGAGGGGATGCAATCTATTGCCAAGTTTGCAAACAGTTTAACATCTGAAGACCCTAACAAGGTTCACTTAGAACAAGAAAAGGATTAAAAAAAGAGGCAAAGAAGTAGCGCTGCCCTCAAAAACCTCAGGGACTAGTGGAATGCAATGGTGTTAGATTTTAGTTTCATATACCGCGCAATAAGAGATCAACTAGGAAAACATGACAAACCTGTCCATCAATGACGGAGGAATGACCCAAACTTGAGGATTCTCCATAACCAAATGAGTAAACATCCCCAGTATCAGAAACAACGAATGTAGTGTAGTCGCCCGTTGCGACATGTACAGCCTTTATGTTGTCCAAGGATTCCACGACCTTGGGAACAGATTCAGACTCCTCATTCCCATGGCCCAAGCACCCATAGCGCCCCCATCCCCATGTACATGTCCGCCCATCTTGTCCCACGACGGCAGCATGCCAGGCACCAGCTGCAACCACCCTAGGCTGCAGGTTTAAAGTCTGGAAGTGCTCGATCAACCTTGGATACTTCTCATCAGTCATGGAACCATGCCCAAGTTTCCCTCCTAAGCCACAGCCCACAGAGTAGACCGACCTGCATTACAATGAAATTATAAACATTAGGATATAATTAAACATTCGAATTCACTGTAAGTATGCTGTTGAATCCCCTAGCAAAACCAGTGGAGTATAACAGCAATGAAAAAGCTAATGCAATCCCTACAAATAACAAGTAATGCAATTGTGGAAACTATGTGTTCTTGAAGAACATTTCAAAAGATGTCATCATAGCAGAATTCTCTTGATGTTGTCTGAGCACCACATAAAGTTTGCATATACATATGTGTGTGTGTGTGTATGTGTTGCAAACTACTCAGGCAATCTCATATCCAGCAAGAAAGAAATAAGGACTATAGCTGATCTTTTAAAGTATCAAGAGATTAAGAGTGGAAGAAAGCTTACATGCCGCTTGGTTGACATGCCAGTGCTAGAAGGTAACAGTAGCCAGCGGCAATCTGAACCACTGGTATGTTCTCAAGAGGACCCAATAGCGGATGTGGTTCCAAGTCACTTGGTTCTGTGCGATGACCGAGCTTTGATTCATTTCCCCAACAGAAAGTGTAGACTCTGCCTTCTCGAGAAAGAACTGCACTGAAGAAATTTCCTATTGCTGCCTGAACCACATATATGTCTTTCAATGATTTCACCAGTCGCGGTGTAGTGACAACCTTGGACCCTTCAATTGTGTGTTCTGCCTCACCAAATGATTCCTTCCCGAAAGCATAAACCTGTCCAGCATCACTGATCAGCATTGTTCGCCCTGCTCCGGCGGCTGCTTGTATAATCCGAATGCCTTGCAGCGATCTGTCAAGCACCAAACCTTTCTTGTTCATGGTACGTGTTAATGTGCACCTGAGTGTATGAAGCAACTGAAAATTTTAAAGCACCTTATAAGTCGTGGCCTCCATTCCTCCTCCAAGGTGCCATGGCCGAGCTGTCCTGAGCTGTTGGATCCAAAGGAATATACAGATCCAGATGAAGTCACGGCAATGCTGTGACTAGGACCCGCAATTGCCTGAGACTTTTCTCTCCGGCAACATATCTCACCTGCCAATATATACCTAAGAACTAATTTCCAAGATCCCCCACAGCGTTGTTTAAGAAGTTCTTTTTCTTCTGAATTCATTGGCTTGAAGATGGCCCTTTCCTGGCACATGTCTAATGCTGCGAGCTCTGTGATAGATAACTGGACCTCAGGAGCAAAATTTGAAGGCTTTCTGAAAAATGTACATGTTGCCTGCCATGAATATCGAAATCTATCAGCAACATTACAGATCCTTTCAACAAGAGAAACATAACAATGATACTTGCCTCCAGATTAGCAAGATCCCGGGGTTCCAAATCGCAATTGGTTAGAATAATGAGAACGATAGAGGGGGTTTCAGCCAAGGGGAATTCCCCTGGGTTCGAGTCACCAAAGCAATGCCTCTGCACACGTTTGAAGGTTCGCTGCAATGGGGGCACCAAAGAAAGGGATGGATCTACAATGGTCTGAAACGGTAGGGAAGAACTGCTACCACTAGTGGTGGGATCCATCGGGCAAGTGCCCAAGGATCAAGCAGTAGAGTGAATCCAATCCAAGGCTATATCCTCGTTCAACTAACTCCAAAGCAGCAGTCTATAAGATTGACAAAACCCCGATTGTCAGCAAAGCAACACTCAGAACTAATGGCTGCAGTATTTCTGAGAGATCATATCAACTCCACAGTTCTCGATCTTCAAACCTCTATGCTTTGAACATACAAAGGGTCCGGGAGCATACTGTAAGTCATGAAATAAAACTGCAAAAGCTTCTGTAAAGTTCACATAAAATTTCAGATAACATACCCATAAATCCATAATAAGAAAAAGAAGGCACCAAACAAGTAAAACACAATTGCAAATTGCAAATGGAGGCACAGACCAAGAATGAACATGGCCATACTCGCTAAAACCATTAGCGAGAGAAGTAATGAGAAATTCCAGACTAACAACTGGACTAAAGAAGCTGAAATAACAAGCTTAAAGTAAAAGAGAGTAAAAAGCCAAGTAGAACAAGGAAAGGAAATGATGTGTAAGCAGTACCACCTCCCAAAGAAAGCATATTCCCAACGATCAAAGATCGTCTACAAAGAAAAGCATTTCACCTCCAAAAGGATACTTTTCTTAAAAACATCCATAGCTGTCCATCGACTCAACAATTAGTCAAGCACTAGGAACAAGAATCTAAAACCAAATCAACTCGAGAAAAAGAAAGCAGAAAATACAAAGAAGTCGGGAATAGAATTCCCAAAGCACATAATTATTAACACCACTTCAACTCCAAAAGATCATATCTCGAAAGCAAGATCCGTTCTCTTAGACAACTTACCCATACGAACAACACAATCGAACACCGATGAACACAGAACACCACATCCTTCGTTCAACCAAAAAAAGCAATTGCATCTTGGAGTCGGTTCGTCATCAAAACCACGGATCGAAAACATCCTTCACAAAGAAAAGAGACCAAATTCCACGGGAAGAGACAGATGGAGAGGCCCAGGCAGAGAAACAGAGGCAGGAGAAAAGATCGGATTTTTACGGTCTAGATCAAATCAGATGGAGCAAGGCAACGACGGGGAACGCGCAGCACACATCAAAGGCAGCAGAACATCCACTGATTCCCCCTGAAGTCTAGGATGCGGCCGACTGACCCACAGTAGGGCGATTGCTTCGTGTGCTCCTCCCTGTTCCTCTCCCCGATCGAAGATCAGAGTCCGATTCGGAAAATGGAAGCGATCGGAGCACTTGTGTTCTTTGAATCGGGATCAAATATAGATTAAGACCGCAGGGAATCGAGGGGAAGAATGGGATGAGATGAGGAAGAAGTGGGAAGAAAGGGGGGAACGAGAGGACCGAGATGGGAATGAGGTGGAGGACAATTGCTGAGTTTTATACGCATGCCGCGACAGCCACGTCAGCGTTCGTAATGAAGCTAATGGATCCAACGTCGGTTGACGGTTTCGGATGAGGGTTTGGTTATTAGTGATCGGAATCGGGTCGAACTGAGATGATCGGAAAAATAAAAATAAAAATTAGATTTTTGATCGAATCGATTTAATTATTGAATGAGTTATGTTAAGAATAAAATGAATCGGTCGACTCGACCGATTTTTTTTTATAGCCACGTAAGAATCGATTGAGATAAATAAAACTAATTTGATTTTGTAAATATATTAGTATTACTTAGATTCCATTAATTTAATTGTTTTAATTTATTTAAAAATATTTATATCAATTTTGAAATTAGGATTAATATAAGAAAGTAATATCTCCCATGCAATCAATTCTCTCTCTCATTCTCCCTCCATTCCTCATTCTCCCTCCATTCCTCATCTCATATAGCATATATTTTTTTAATAAACTAATATCAATTATTTATTCAAAAGGATATTTATGTTAATTTTAAAATTATGTTTAACTTAAGATAGAAAATGACCTCTTTGGTGCATTTCTTCCTCCTATCGTCTTTCTCTTTCTAATATTATGATTTTATCATTTGTAAGATAGAGAGTGAATTTGATGTTTATAAGACCTTATGCTCACGAGAAATTATCTATTTTGAGTGGATCCAAATATTTTTTTTTTTGGTCAAGGGTGACTTTGGTACTTATAGAAATTATATCTTGAGTGTACTTACGATAAATTATCTATTTTAGATGAACCTTACATGATTTACCAAAAGGGTCTCTTAGGATAGAATATGACTATAAACCTTACATGATTTGCCAAAAAGATCTCTTAGGATAGAATATGACTCTGATGCTCATAAGACCTTGCTCCTGAAAAATCATCTATTTTGGATAAGTCCTAAAAAGAACTTATAAGAGTTAAGGTGAACTTATAAGGGGTAAGGGTGACTTTATTGTCTCATGAAAACTATTTACATCGGGTGAGCCTCTCATGGTTTTGCTGCTCCTCCTTTCGGGTGAGATTTTGTGTTGTCTTCCCCAACACGAACACATGAGGAATTGTCTTCTTTCGATAGATCTTATATTGTTTTATTTTGTTTATAATGTATCCCAAAAAAGTGTATTTTAAGGTTAGATCATGACTTTGACATCTGTAAGATCTAGATTCAGTCGTAAACTGGGGTGAGGGATGAAAAAGGTTTTGAACTCATGCCAACAGAGAGTACTCGGGCCTTTGCTCAGTGAGGAACTCCTTGCCATACGGACAATGCAAGGTCTAATAACGGGATGAACTACTTCATGTCAAGATCGAACTCCTTGCTTTGACTACAGAGGCCAGTGACAAGTAGAGAACTTCTAATAGTCGAACATCATCACACAGTAACAAAATTTCTTATCTTATCACAGGTAATGAGATGCCATTCAACAACGATAAGTTCAAAGAGTTCTACGCTAACTATCAGACTGAAGTAACAAATCCTCAAGCTGTCCAATTCTTCAAATCCGATCTTCGAATCAGAATAAGAAAAAGCACATCATCCTCTTGTGGTTCTTGTTTGCCCAAAGAGACCACCACTGAAAGAACTGCAGAACAACTGGTCGAGGATCTTTGATTACCAAAACAAGCAGCCTCATGAGTAAATACCAGCAGTTGCAGTAGCAAAATCATTCAAGAAAATCCAAGGAGCTCTACAAGTATCTAACAATAAGAACTCTGGAAGTCAGAGGGCAGCCTAAATCATATCAAACACGAGACTAGCTAGAGATGCAATGTCTGAAGCTGATCTAATGGCAAGAATGCTACTGCAGGATTAGCCAACGAACCTCAAGGCAAGAATCAACTTGACCCATTAAGTGGTGGTTTGTATGAAAGTCTCACGGTAGAATAAATTACAGATGGTTCAGCCATTGCACCGTTTCCATAATCTCCGCATGCCAACCTCTTGGTGACGGGAGGGATGAGATTAACACCAAGCTCGTTGATTGCATCTAGATGGCGCTTTGTAAAGGGATTATTCCACATGAAGGTGTTCATAGCAGGAGCAACAAATATAGGCTTGCTGTAGTCCCAGGCTCGCACAATACACGTCAGTAGGTTGTCACACAATCCTCCTGCAATCTATACAACGAAGAGCAAAAACTTTAAGAAAAAGGTGAAAAAAATATATATTTGGCACACAAACTATGTAGTCAAGTAATCTTTGTACCTTCGCAAGAGTATTTGCTGACAGTGGGGCAATAACCATGATATCAGCCCATTTCCGAAGCTCAATGTGCAATACTCCATCCCCAATCTTCTTCCAACTAGACCATTCATCATCGTCTGTATAAAGGATCACATCCCTGGGGAATGATGCTTTATCGAGAAAATGCAAGGATGATTTGGTAGCAACTGCCCTAACTTCTGCCCACTCCAGAAAACTACGGCATAAAATCTCAAATTTAATAGCAGCAACACTTCCAGACACAGCCAAGAGGATCCTTGGTTTAACAGGCTGAATATTGTCATGCTTCATATTTTCTGATGCTATTTCGATATTAGCCATCATGCATTCAACGCACTAGGAAAAATTTCCTTCCACTGCATAAAAAATGATGGTCATCTTTTACAGATTTCCACCAGGCATTATCAAAGGGCAAGGAAATCCTAAGCAAGCATCATCTTTAAAAGAAATCCATATATAAAGTGAACCTTTTGTACTAGTACAGCTTCCCAAGAACATGGTCAAAACAACTCCAACCATGAGAAGACCATCGCATCCAAGCAGAATGATTCAATAAACTGGAAGCTGGAAACATTAACATAACGTTAGTCCTTTGTACAGAAAAGCGATTATCAAAGAAGACATAAATTGCACGAAACTGACCGACCAACTATAGCTATGAGAAATTATTGATGTTCGGGTAGGCTGATACAAATGCTTATCTTTAAAATGTGCTTTAGTTTGCTTGAAACAATCGGTTTCAATCTCTTATCCATGAGTGTGGAGAAACAGCTTAAGATGAAGCTATAAATTATATATTTACATACTTATATGAATGAGCATGAAAGTCCAATAACAACACCAACAACAAGGCTGTAATGTCTCAACATTTAGGGTTCTACCTAGATCCTTTTGCCACCATTGAGCTATATAAAAAAGCCATATCCTTAATTAAAATTTAAATTTTTACTTAATAGTTTTTAGTAAAATGTTGTTAGGCCTGCCTCTATCTCTCTTCTTACCAATCATTTCACCTCTTCTAACAACAATATCTATGAGTCTTCTTAGGGCATCTTAAACAAATTTTCCATGGATTACACGTTTTTTATGACGAATAAGCACAAACATAATAATTTAATCTTTAATATTTTTATCCTCACAAAACTAAAGAACACAAAATTTTCAGCAACCCTAGTTTCAGAACTTCCATCAATCTAGTTTTGGATCGTCCATCCCTCTCCCCGGTGTGGTTTCTTCATAGGCCAATTCGCGATCAGTGATCCGTTACTCAGTATTTTCCGGTTGCCGCCCAATGTCTAAGCCCCCTTTACCGTCGCGGGCGATTTCCAGCAACCGGATTGGGAGATGAAGAAGCAATGGGAGGAGAGGTGAAGAGACAGAGAGGGGACAAGTACGAATTAAATATTACGACAGCGCGCCGAAGATCAAAAGCTAACCTCTCGCCGGTGTGCTCGCCGAATACCACCGCTGCTTCGACGCTCACCGCAGACGATAAGAAGGGATCGTGAGAGAGAGAGCTTATATAATGGACAGACATGAGGGTAATTTAGTCATTTTACATGTAGACGGAAATTAAACGGCGACGAAACAGCACCATCTCGTCCCCAAATTCCTCCGCTATTCACCCTCAGCCTTTGGCCACCGCCGCCGCCCCCCTCGATCGCTTCATCCCCGGCGGTAACCCACTCGCCACCGTGCCGCCCCCCACGTCTCCGCGGTCCAGTCCTGCTTCCATTCTTCTACTTCGCCAAATTGAGTGATGGGTTTAATCATATGTTATGATTGCAATCCATAGCCAGCTCAAGTCAGATTCAATTCAAAGATCGATTCGGCTCGGTTCGAGTCTGACTCACCGACGGGTCGAGTCGTGGAATAGGAAAAGCCTTATGGGTAATTACGGACCGATCAAGCCCACATAAGCAACTATATTACCCGACCCAACCTGATCGATAACAGCAGCAGAACACCATGGCGTCGTTTGGGTTGGGAAAGATGAGCGACTTCCTTCTGCCGACGCTGTCGCGGAAGCGCGACGTGGACTGCATCATCCGCGACACCCTCGACAAGGTCCTCGTCCTCCGCTTCGGCCGCGCCGCCGACCCTCTGTGCCTCCACTTCGACGAAATCGTACGCTGCGCCCCTCTCCTCCCATATCTTGTACTTCGTCTTCTCGGTGCTTGGCGAAGCCTCTGATCTCGTGTGGCCTTCTGGCGCGCAGCTCTCCAAGACGTCTCGTGAGGTCTCTAAGTTCGCGACGATCGCGCTGGTGGACGTCGACTCCGAGGAGATTCAGGTCTACGTCAAGTACTTCGATATCACCTTGGTACCCTCCACCGTCTTCTTCTTCAATGCTCATCATATGAAGATGGACTCCGGGTAATTCAATTACATCCCTAGATGAACATCTTGTTTCTGTCATCAACTCTCTTTATGTCTTGCCCGGTTCTGCGTTTCGTAGGAAATTTTAACCTTCCGCTTAGGTAATTTCTTTTTGCCCTAAATATTTGATTTGATATGTAGGTTTCTGCAAGTACGAAGGCTGTAATTTATTAGGGCATGCACAAGATGTCACCCTTTCTACGATATCTTATTTATTTTGCCCTAAATTTTAGTGGTAAATTTTCCTTGACATGAATACTTGTCACAAGGATGTTTAGAATTATTAGGTGTAGTCGATATGTCTTATAAATTAGTGGCCTGTAGATAAAAGTCCGCTAATTTGACATTTGACATGTTATTACGATGATTGTAGAGAATAGCAAATGCAATAGTAGCATCATCTCCTCTGTTTCACATCGTAGCCTGATTGGATATCCTAAAATTTCATCCGAAGCTGAACCTTATTAATTATCTAGGTATCTGAACTGAAACCATATACGGGTTACCTACATTTATACCGAACTCATCCCAAACCCTATCGAAGGAAACCCTATCTAAGGGTACCAGAACCTTGTTTTGCTCGGTTGGGTATATTTGGATGCTCAAAAGAACCCAACCTACTAAGCTGAACCTAGAAGTAACATTAGGTTAGGCTACTTGCTAATCCAACCAGTCTGTCTACCTATGTACCTGAACCCGACTGGAGCACATTCATCCTCACCTGAACCTGTTTCCTAGCTGATTAAAGGGTAAACAAGTTCATTATAAGCGGATCAAGTAGACCAAGGTGCAAAAAAAATAATAATAATAAATAAATACCTCTGCCATCCCAAATTATGGCTCCCCTCTCTTCTCCTTTCCCGCTTTTTTACTCTCCCCTCTTCTTTTTTGTCTTTTGAGGCTGTCAGATTGGCTGGAATTGGTCAAAACTGGCCAACTCTGGTAGTGATTTGTAGATTCTAGTCAAAATCCACTGACTTATTACTATAAACTGGGAAGTCAACAAAAATTGGAGTGGCCTTTGACGATAATGATATGGATTCTATTCCTTTTTATAGTGATTTAGTTCTATTCTTTAATGACTATTTTCACCTTAAATGTAACTTGATTAGTGAATTTTTCGGCCATGTGTCTCTTGGTAAACTGTATTTTTTATTGTATTCAGGACTGCTGATCATACTAAGTGGGTTGGATCTTTTCATAGCAAACAAGACTTAATCGATGTTGTTGAGGTGAGTGCCATGCTCCTCACTTGGAAGGTCCTTTTTCTGAATTAAATATATTATATTCAGTTTCATCTACTGAATTCATTAAGCTTAAGATGATGCTACATGATAGGTTAGTCTTAATATCAGTAGAACAAAAGCTAGAAGATTTTTTTTTTTCATTTCATAATTTGAGAATACAGTTACGTAGTTTGATTTTGGACGTCCGAGATACTTATTCTTTCTTGGATTGTATGGGAAAAAAAAAATGGAACTGAATGACTTCTGTAGCAAAGTTTGTAGAACTTAGATAATTTTTTGTGTCTGTAAGAAATGAAGATGTCCTTTTTGATGAATAAGTAGGAATTATCCCTTGTCACTGAGACTTTATCATCAGATCTTCCTAATCTAGTTAGCTGGCTTCCAAATGCAATTATCTTCATCCATGATTACCAGTATAGTTGGTCTGTTATATTGGTTTTTCTCTTCTGGTAATATTTTTCGCAAGAGATTAAACCTGTCATCAAGGCTCATATGATCAAGAATGGGATTGGGATTAGCTAACTGCATTATGATTGAGATTCATTACATCTGATCAGTTGGAGCAGGATAAATTGAGAGAATAATTTAAACATGAAAAGTGTAGAAATTATAAAAATAACAAAGTCTGGAAAACAAAATATAAAAAAATGATAGTTTTTCGAAAGAGTAAAACAATATGTTTTATGTAAAGCCACAGTTGTCAGTTTCTAATTTCTTTGACTTGGCCATATCTTCTTAATTTAATATGAATAGCTGCACATTGTATTCCTGAACTTCTTATGTATGAAAATGTGAAAATATCTGTCTATGTACCAGCTTATGCAATCTGGGGGTGATTCCATGGGATGGGCTGCATATCATACATAGATGATTGAACCTTAGAAGTTTACCTTATGGATATGCATATGATACCTTAGAAATGATGGGGGATAATATATCTGAACTGGATGTCTTCATTTTAGAATAAGACTGCTATCTGCTGATGTCGCCACCCTCATCTACCAACACAGTTGACTGTTACCTGAGTACGGAGGATGACCTTTAGAATTGCTCTAGGCATAACCTTTTTTTACATGATATATAATTCACCATCTAACTCATACATTAACATTCTGACTATCTTTCAAAACACAACAACAGAAAGTTCTAATATTTTGATCAACATAAACCAACTACTAAGTGCTCAAGAATTTAGTGGCGATGTGTATCTCATCGTTCAACCAACATTTCTGGACAGTGGAGGGACCATCTGTTTTTGGGGTATATTCTGTATATTTAACTCCCAACTGATTTGATGAAATCGTATTTGAACTTGCTTTTGGTCTGGTTGAAAATTTGCAGAACTTTGTAGAACTTTGTGTTTTTTTTTTCAAAGAAAGGCAAATTAGAGAAACTTAGAAAACAAACTTATAAAATATCCGGAGTTTCTCTAGTCCAAAAAAATAGCAGATACATTCTGTCTAGCATAATTAGCAAGATTGTGAGCCTTGTTAAGGTCTCTTGGGATGTAACTCCAGTTGGAAACCTTCACTGTCTTAGCTAGATGGAGGATGTCTTTGCATAGAAACCTTCACTGATCTCACCCAGATTTGAGTAAATCCAAGTTGTAGTGCACATTGAAGCCCCACTTAACTGCCAATCATTCTGCTTGGAAAGCATCAGAAAGTCATCTATGGTTGCACCTCCTGCAACAATAATACCCTCAAGTCACTAAAAACAAAATGTGTGTGTAGAACTTTGTTATTTGAATAGTTTCTGCCGATTTCTATAGCCAAAGTCTAGCTCTAGTTAAGAATATTATTCAATATTCAGTAGCATGCTGTAACATCCGACTAAAAAGGACCCAAGCTTCCATCTACCTTAAATTTCTTCCCTTTTCATGTTTCCTTTTTCTTTCTTTGTTCACTTTTACAAGTTCTCGAGGCTGTTTGCTTTACCTTTCGGCATGCTGTTCTCATCTGGTAAGTTTATCCTCTTCAAAAGTTTCTTTTCCCTACCCGAAAAAGAAATATCTCTCTCCAAGTAGCCATCCTACCCAGAATGAAACTTGCAGTTAGAAATTTTACTTGTTGAGTCATCAATAGTTCCTTCTTCTCACTAATGTTTGTTATCTAGCAGCAGTCTATAATGTAATATTATTATGATGCCTCTTTATAATAAATAGATTCTCCCAAAAGAAGCCATATAACCTTTATATTTTGTTGCCTCTCGTAGGCTATATTTAGAGGGGCGATGAAAGGCAAGCTGATCGTTAGCTGTCCACTTCCACCAGAGAGGATACCCAGATTTCAGCTGCTCTTCAAGGACGTGTAGGGATGAGCTGGAAGGTGGACGTGATAGTGTGTCGAAGGGGATGACATAATGACTCTTGGTATTCATCCTCTTAACGGTTCTTTTAGTAGCTTCTAATCAAGTGTCAAATGCACATGAATCATTGTGTCAAATGACATGTTCAAGCATTCTAAAATCCCTTGGATCGATCATTTTCCTGTAAGCTGTGTACATATATTATTTTGCTTCATTGCATACAAATACGAGCATTATTTGCTTCATTCAGTGTTAGATACAAATTTGGAAAAACATTACTTGAAATACAAATTTGCTTTGTTATGGAAATATAGTTATTTGCTATCTCCATGCACCAATTTTACTCTATGGATTCTTAATCTAATGATTTAAGCTTGTTCGACTTAGTGGAGTCTGATCTCCCCCCATCTCATCTTCTAACCTTCTCACTGTCCTTCATTCCTTACAGATGAAACCAGTAAACAATTTTTTCTCCCACTCCTCATCACATGCATGTAATACGATTAAAGCAAGCCATCTAAGTTTTCTTCCTCTCTTCTTTTTTTTTTGGTCTGGGTAACAAGTAATACGATTAAAGCAATGATAATAACCAAATGCAGATAGAAGCATGCTACAGTATCCAGGACTCAATTATCAAAAGAAAACGTGATTTGTCATCAAGAAGAACTTGCAAGTTGCAAGACACTGTCAAGTCCCTTGACTTCAACCAACACAAGCACAATCTAATTCAAACGCCATGTGAGGAACTCGGAAGACAACCAATTTTGTCTTTGGCTTACCCTTGGCCAATGAGAACACTGCTTTTAATCAAAAGCCTCTTGAATAGAGCGTTGAAACAACAGTTTTCTTCCACCCAAGCCTCCAAATTAGACTGCATAAAGAGCGCAGTCCGAACAAACGCATTTCTTGAGGCCAACTGTGGTGGATGATGCTGCAAGTAATAAGCCCACTAGCTTTCATTTCCAGTCTGGTCTTCACACGCACCTGCATTAAAAGGCATCAATAGAAGCTTGGAATACAACCATTCTTCCCCAGAAGGGCGAGAAATACTGGCCAACTACACCAGTAAAGGTTGTCCATGAAAAGCATCTTAAATGAAGGCACTAGTCATAAGAAAAAACCAGATGTATTAAGCATTTTTATGTGAAAACAACTGCTAAAATTTACGATACTAAATAATTAAAACACTAAATAACATTTGTGAGCAGCTTCCTCTGAATCTACTTATGAGATGGAACAGAATAGTAAGCGGTAGCTGTTAGTCAACGACAGACATATTAAGAATTGAAAGTTCTCGCTATGCAAATCCAAAAATAGTTTCTAATATTTTGCATGATAACCCATTAAAAGTGACCACCGGGAAGCCGTGGGAAGCAACTTACTTGATTGCTTCGTGACAAACACAATCACTGCTAGATCATGAATCCATGAATCTTCATGAGATGTCAAAGAACAGAAGCAATAAACGCATCAAACATCATGAGGAAGCAAATGAAACCATGAAACTCACATTCCATACAATTATGTTAATTTCCTGAAATGTAATAGATGATGTGGATGCACTAAAATGAGAGATAAGCATCAAAAGTTGCAAGGATATTCTTGTTTGAAAAATGAGAATAAGAAGCCTGCATTTTCTTGAAAAAAGTAATCGGTGATCCCTTAAAATGCTATAGTTCTCATCACCTGGAGCAATTAAATCTCTTGAGAGAATCTACATGAACTCTTCTGATAATAACAATGCTATTAAGCTTCTGCTCCAAACATCTAGTACGTAAGTTACGGATAATCTAAAGCTATATTTAGATAAAACCTACACAAGTAGGTTGGATAATTACACTGTATATAGGAAAATATTAACAGAATTAGCTTTGAAGATTTTGTTTCATGCATGACTTAATAAGCTCCCAACAACACAACTATGAAGTTATCCACCAACTATGAAATATGCAATCAAATAGATAGAAAATTAGTTCAGAAAGGTTTTACTCTTAGGCATCCAATTTACAATGTATGAGATTAATAAGCTACACAAAACCTAAAGTCATCCATCAAAAATTCTATTTTCTTCCACAGAATAAATGGTTCAAATCCTGATAAATGGTGGTTCAGCATAAATGAAAGCTAATATGAGTGGAGACCATTTAAAAGGTAAACATATATGGCAGTAATACAAAATTCAATCTGAGAACGGTGTTGTTTTATTTTTTTTCCAAGTACCAAGATCAAACAGAACTACTACATCTGAAAATAATCTTTTGGGTGAACAGATTAAGCCTGTATTCAAATGGTTTAACTACTGCGATCAGTATGTCACAACACTACAAAACAGATCAAGAATGGGTTCAATTGAAGATGTAAAAGGACAACAATTGGAAAGGCGAAAGCTTTATACCCTAGATCTTGATGATCTTGGCAGCTTTGACCACAGGATTAGCCTTAGCAATCTCCTCCCTCCCCAACGCCTTGTAATCGAATGAGCAATCATGAGTGTCGGAATACCGGTGGCGACCGCAGAAGAGATCCCCGCATCGGCACCGGAATCCGGTCAGCCCCACCTTTCTCCCGCAAGTGGAGCACCCGTTGATGAATTTTACCTGCGGTTTGGATTCCTCCTCAGGCTTCGACTCCTTGTCGGTCTTGGGCGTGGTAGATGCCGCGACGGCGGTCTCCGTAGCCGTAGTCTCCGCTCTCGGGTTCGGTGATTGCTCGCAAGGTTTCAAGAACAGAGACGGGGGTAACGGGGACGATGATGGAGGAGCGGGAGTCGACGGGGAAGGGGAGGAAGGTTTGAGGATTTCGGCTTCGTCTTTGTCAAGATTACAACTTTCTCGAGCCATTTGATGCACTGGAACAGATGCGAACACAAGCAGATCGAGGATATTGGAGCCGAACAGGATTAAGAACTAAGAATAAGTTTCAAGGATCGATAAAAGAGGGATATCTGAAGTCTCCAATCGACGTGATGGGTGAAAAAAAGAGGTTTTCAGGACGGATTCATAAGAAATCAAATAAAATTCGATCTCAACCCTCAAAAAGGGACGAATTTTCCAACAAAAAAAGCGCAAAAAATCAGTAGTCAGGAGGGACTAAATCTGCAGCGGATCGATCAGGATGTAAGCTTCGTTGAACGCGAAATCGAATCGGAGACAGGATGAGGCTGTCAGAGATTTTTCCCCATGCTTCCTAGGAATCAAGTTCGAAGGGCAGCAACAACCGAGAAGATGATCAGAAAGAGGGGAACCCTGATCGATCCGATCGAGGAAGTGGCGAAACAATCGGTGGAAACAGGGGAAGATGAAGGAAAAGTAAAGGTGGGAACTTCGGAGGCGGTGGAGGAAAAGGACGAATAAATGGGAATACATCCGTCGCAATACAAATGATAAGGCGATTAAAATAAAGCAAAATGGTCGAAATAATCTTCGTGTCCAAGCGAAATTCCACGCTGTAATATTCTTTTCTTTTCCGCAACACATTTCAGTCAACTTAAATTAGATTAAAAATATTTATTAATTAATTTTTGAAAAAGACTTTCCCAATATCCCGATTCAACTCAGAACGGATCGAGTCTCAGCGACCGCCTGATTCAACTCAGATCGGGTCGAGTCTGAGTCGAGCTGATTTGTCCTCTGGTCCGATTGAACCACATGGCTCAACCTTCAACCCAAACCACCACCCCAACCCAACCCCACGCGCACCCGTGCTCTAAACGCAGCCTCTCTTTCTCCCCATCGACTGCGGCAGTGCGGCTTAGCCTCGGTGCACGGTGACTGATTTCGTCTCCATCGGCGAACGGCGGCAGCTTCTTCCCCTCCCGTTATCTCTCCCTCTCCTTCTCGTCCTCCTCCTTCGCCGTCGCACACTCCCTTCTCCGCCCTCCTTCCTCTTCCCCTCCGTCGTCACAGCTCCGTCTCGACCGGAATCCGGTCAGCCCAGCGCCTTTGACGACACTGGGCAGGAGGGGAATCCTTCCATTTCTCCGTGCCGTAACATTCGTGCTTGATGCTTATCCCTTGATCAACAGTAGAAGACTCGAGAATCTGTCATCGTCGGGCCTTCGAGGATTAAAAGAAAATCCCATCGATCGCAAAGACGAAGCGCGAGGACTGTTTTGGCCATGGAAGAGGGAGCGAAGGGCGGTAGCGAAAGCTCAGGGCTCGAAACCCTAGTCCTTGAGAAGGTTGGGGAGGTCTCATCCGCGATCGATGCCGCGAAGCACGTCGACGAAGTGATCTGCGCCCTCTACTCCCTTGCTGTCCGCATATTTCCCGTCGACTACTCTGCCCTTTGCGGTTCGATTTCGGATCCTTCACGTCTCTTTCTCTTGGAATGGGTCTTTTTGTCGTACTTTTTCTGTCGTAGTGTCACTTATTTGTTGAATGATAGATGGATTTGCACTGAAAAGGAAAAAAAAACTTAGGAGCTTATGATTGGGGGAGGCATCTGAATTTTTTGACGTGTCTGAAAATTTATTTATTTTCTTAAAACAAAACGGCTCATTGCAATATTTGGTTACTTTGCAGATACCATCGATCCTGCTCAGAGAAGCAAGGTACTACTCTGGTCCACAATGCTACTTGGTTTGATATCTCACACAGAGGAGGTTCTTAACGTTTTGTGTTATCTATTTATGCAACTACAATAGTGTCCACAAGAAAATTCTGAACTTGATGTGAAAAATAAATAATGTAAAGATGGTTGTAATTCTAATTAAAGGTGAGATAATGCCTGGAATCGAAAACATAGATGCAGAGAAGAAGAATTCATTGATAAGAAAAAGGTGCTAGGGTGAACATCCAGCTAAAGATTGAAAACTAAAAGAGTGGCTCAGTGCCCAAGGCCTTGTGCACTGGTGTACACCTGTGGATTTTCAATTTAAGGGGTGTTTCTTCTCAGGGACTTTCGAGTTAAATTTTATTTTGAACAAGAACTTATGCTATATACAATCCCTGACATTCAATTCCAACAATTATCTATATTTAGTTTAGTAGCAGTTGTATAAGGTCCCCTAAAATCATGTTTGTTTGCTATGCACTTATATACTTACAAACATGTAGTTGTCATCATTTATGAATAAATTCTCTCTTCCTGGAACTTGCGATGGCTGGAATGAATGATCCATTTTGCATATCTTGAAACCTGTTCAAAGATCCTGTACACCCCGTTGTAGTAAACTAGCATGTCCTCAACATAGAGTTGAACTCAGATTATGAATCTTCTTTTACTTGCATTCAATTTAGTAAAGTTGCTTACTTGCATGAATATGTAGTTTGGGACACTCTTCATGGCTTAATTTTTGGGTGTATTGCTTTAGATATCACTACATCCTTTGAATGTTAGAAGTGTTCTTTGCCTGATTATTGGTTGAAGCATTAACCATCCTTTGTTTTCTTACTTTTACACAAATCTTTTGATTACAGATGATTCTTTTTTTGTCTATCATCCATATTTATTATTTTGAAAGGATTATATGAATAAACATACTATGCATGCTTTAATCTCCAATATTAGACTGAGCTCACGATTTTGAGATTTGATCCACTTCGAGTGTCCATTTTTTTTGTTTTATGTGTGGGGGTTCAGTGATGGGTGTCACATGGTGCTTACAGTCCACAAATAACCCTTACCATAATAGTAACTTGTGGCTGACTAGATCCATGCCTTACCATGTTAGCATGAGGCATTCTGGAAGAAGCTGCACTGTCCTTACTAAGCGTGGAGAACTGTATCTAGTATTTCAGCTGCTACAAAATTTTGAAAATCCTGAAGTTAAGTGTTATGTTTTTGCTTCCAGTTGAGAGAATCAGCCTAATCTAGTTGACTTTGATTGACATCAAACCCTTCCTGCTAATAATATGGTCAAGAAATCGGTCAAAATTGGATCAACCTTGGATGCTATTGATACATATCAGATGTGTTGTATCAAAATTACCACAAACCGAGGTCTTCTTATTTTGTTTACCACTGTTTTTCAGGTACATGAGATACTATCTCCTGCCCCTGCTGAAAGCGGTGAATGGAGGCAGGCTTTCTACTATGGACCTGCGTTTCCAACCTTGGCTAGGATATTGATCTATAGTAAGTTTCATTCTTTAGTTGAAACATCTTTATTGTGATAAGATATGCTGGATCTAATAGAGTTTTCTCTAAGTTGACACATATTTCTATATGTAAATATATGAATTATATGTCAATTTTTTCCTATGATACCATATGACTAATGCTATCTTCAAATTTTCAAATCCCATGGTTGTCCGTATATACTGATTTTTATGGTTCTAACATGTGTATGTACTGATTTATCACTAATCTTGTGTTCAACTTTTTCCTCTCTTTTTTTCATTCCTTTATCTACGAAGAAAGCAGGAAAAAATAAACTTCTTCCGCCCCTTTTTTCCTTCATTCTCTCCTCCTCATTTGTTCTCAGGCTTGGCTGCACCCTTCCAGATTGCCTCCCCTTCTCTCATCATTCTCATTCCATTCTCGGATGGGGCTAGTTGGGTCTGGGAATCAGCAACTTTGCTTCCTCATCCCTTCCTCTTGCATCCTTTTTCTCTCTTTTCATTTTCCTTTCTAGTTTATTATCTGACAATTGGAACTGTCTGAATTGGTCAAGATGTCCAATTCTGTTAGAGATCTGTTGATGTTGATCAATTCTGGCTTTTGGCATTGAAGTGGGCAAAACGATCTAAATCAGGTTGGCTGATTTGGTGAGCCATGCTTGTCTGCTAAACTGAAAATTAAGGTGTATATGTGCAAACATGAACCTTTAGAATGATGCATCCAAATACTTTTTTAATAACTAGCATTTGATTTGTGAATGTGATATATTCTTTAGTAATTATAATTCATATCTCCATTCGGAAAAATAGACTGCAACAATTTTATTGTAAGAACTTGTTCTTCATTGAAAAGCCTGTGCGAGTGCATGCTATTAAAAATGCAGAATTAATTTGAGCTGATGGTAACATTCTTTGTAAAGAAAGTAGCTTTAGATGACTGGCACACGTTTTAGTAAAAGGTTTTCTAAGTGCTTGATAATTGTCATATCTAATGTGCAGATGTTGCAAAAGACTGGCTTGCATGCTTTTCTTCATCTACGAAGAAGCAGGTTTATGATTCATTTTTCGTTCAAGGACCTCCAACTGAAATAGTACAGGTCCTTGTTCCTGCTTTGGTGCACGGTTATGATGATGCTATCTACTCGAATATTGAGAGGTACTTACTGTACCATCTGATTGATGCCACAATTAAGTTGATTTTGGTACTTTGGAGCAGTATGAAAGTTATTTTACAGCAGAGTTAATTAAGATTGTGCCTCATTTAGCAACAATGGTGACTGCAATAATAAATCATGTTAGTGCGTCACAACAAATGTACTTCCTAGATCATATTACTCGTCAAACCTCTTTTAACATACCATGATTTTGGCCTTATTTGACCAAATCATTTGAGGAATCCTTAGCTATTACTTATATTTGGTGGTAGTATGAGAATCCAGATGTCATGAAAAATCATTAGAAACTTTAGTTTTTATTGGTACATGATAAGATGTGTATGTGATCAACCATATATAATGCTCTTGTTTATCTAGATCTTGATATGCTGATTATACTGATTTAATACTGAGCATAGTTATCGGGATCAGATCGAACCAAGTGGTGGTGCTGGAAAAACCGGGAACCGGACCATTAACCAATCCAATTCAATTATTGGAATGGATATGTTCAAAAACGGGAATGAACCGATTAACCCGGTTGGATTTTGGATAACCAATATAAAACCGACTGACCGAGTACATAAAACCGATCCAAATTACTTAAATACCCTTAAACTTTTTTATTATTTATTCGAGAGGGTATTTGAAATTAGGGTTAACCTTATTTAAATATGACAGATGATACTCTCAATCTTGATGAGATTTTAATGATATCAAAAAGAAGATAAGGGAGATGAAATTAGAGCACGCTATATAAGAAGAATTTGATTTGAGGACAAATAAAAATGAGGAGAACGAAAAAAATATTGGAACAGATAAAAATGAGTTCGAAAATTTAGATTATAATACAAAAATTTACTACATGGGTTAGAATTATCATGGCATATTGATGACTAAAAAGTTTCCATCTAATCATGAATTCATGATAATTATGTTGGATAAACTATTTCTTATATATCATTGAACAATTGATTTTAGATTGGATTAATGTAATCACGACCAAGATTTTTTCATGTGTTATTTGATCTGGATAATGTTTATAACTTTATATACACAATGTTGCTTGATATTATCATTCCACATCTTCTATCTATTTTTTAATTAGTTTTAATATTTTAGATTTTTACTATATATAATTTTAAATTGTTTAATATATTTTAAAATATTTTTAATTTAAACATGTGGTTCGACCAATTGATCCACCGGTTCAACCAATGACCCAGAGAACCAAGTCCTTGAGATTCATAGATCATTTGCTTCGATATTGGTTTATGTTTTCACCTCATTACTAATCGTTCTTCTGTTGTATTATTCTATTTTTCTAAAACAAGGACTATGATAATATAATTTTAGTTAAATACACCTTTTTGTATTACTTATACTTATCACTTGCATAATTTCTTTATGAGTAACAAACTATCAATATTATCAGATAAGTTGATAATTTAATCATAGCATAATTTAGCTTCTTCTTCTTTTTTTAAATCTATCCATTGTTTTCGCTGCAGATGCACTAGGTGATACTTAGACCACTTGCATATCATGGTTGTTTTTGGAAGATTTGAATATAACCATTAACAGTCAACCACCGTTTGATGATCAGCACGTTCTATCATGGTTCAAAAATTTGATCAGTCAATGTTTGTTAGTTGATGTGTTTTGATGATCAACTTTTGCTATTCATCTATTGTTTGACTTTCAATTATCAAATTGTCATTGGTGATTGATGATTGCCATTCAACAGGATAGACTGTCCAATGACTATCACTTACTGATTGGTCATCTGCTGGCAATCAACAATCATCTATTGACAGCTTGTTGATACTTGGTGATCATTAACTGATGGTTGTTGGTATGCTGAAGATTATTGACTGAATATATAGTATGTTTTTGGTCATTTATCATCATGGTCTATTGGATAATTGATGATTAGTGATCATCAATCTGACTGCTGGTTTGACTGTTATTGGAAATGTCTGTCAATTTGTTAAAGAACAAAAGATTACCGACTTGGTCTATGCGAGCAACGGCTGTCATAATGATTTCCTTCATCACTTACACACTTTCGGAATTTTAAGCTGTCACTTACGTGGCAAATGTACAGGATCATATAGCCATGGCCAATCCCTTGTCTCACCACTCCATCTATCCATCTCTCATTATAATTTGATATGATTTCTAGTGACTATATCAATATTGGATCTTTACTGACTGTAAATGATGTGTACTAACTTGTTAGTTAAATATAACCCAATATCCAGACTAACCTAACAGATTTTGTTCTTGTGGTGTTCATTATATTTCTTATCATTTCCTTTCTATGTGTAAAGCAGGCAGCATTTATCTTTTCCTCTACTATGTATATTACAGGTTACTGGTACGATGCTTGCTTAAGAGCGAAGGGATACGGCATATTGTCGGTGAATTTAGAATCCAATGTAGCAGTAGCAAACATGATTATGCACTTAAGCCAGAGATGTTAGCAGTCATGTCTAGGGTTGCACAGCTTCTCACTTCTGTTCCTGACAAAGCAAGATTGCAAGCCTCATCGGCACTTTCATCGCAGTATCCTTCTGAGATATTGTCTTGGTTCTATAGATGTAATTTTAACGATTCAAAGCTCAATTTGGATTCTGTTTGATGATTCTGGAGCTTCATGTCATGTATCATGATTCCTTTTCATGTTGATACCAGGAGTGCGCTCATTGTTGGTTCTTAAAATTTTCACATTAAGATCATATGCTCATTTAATTTGCCCTTTTTTCTTTTTATAATGTTTTATCAACATCATCTCCTCTCAGTAAAATCAGTCATAGAAATCTCTTATATTTCCTAATGTAGATTACATTTCAAGGATACCTTTCATTATCAGCTATTTTCTGTTTTTATCCTTGATTAGCTACTAGCTTGTTCTTCCAGCAAATGGCTAGACAACTTCTGTGTGGAGCAGAAGATTGTAACTTTGAAATGTTGAACCCAAGAGATGCCTCCGATGCAAATACTGTGGATGGCTCATTGTTATTTATCGGTGAAACATTTTCAAGGATTTGCAGGCGTGGCTCAACAGGTGATAAAAAAATAGTTTAATGCTAAGTCTGGTCCTGCAAATTATTATTGTTCCAGCAAAGCAACTTATTGAAGTTAACTTACCTGACAGTAGATAGGTTAATTATAGGCCAAGCAGATGCTAAAATTTTACTTTTAACATTTAATATGAGCAATTGATATAAATTGATCACAAAAACTTTACTTTTAACAGTTAGGTGTACCATTGATAGAAGATAAAATGAGGAAAAACCATTAGAAGGATATATGCATGTTCAATGGAGACCTATAAATTCCCTGGTGAGGTAAGATGAATTGATCAATATTAGTGATGAGGAAAAGTAGAGGACACATAGGAAAATTTTATATGAGCAGGAAAAGGAAACTTGACTGCTTTATGTAACTAGGGATATTCACCTACCCAGAGCTTAATGGGAAGAAAAAATTCATGCAAGCAATCCCAAATAATTTGGATCTGTGGCTTGTTGTTGTACCTTCTAGTATACAATTGTAAGAGATCTTTAATAAAAGAATGAAATGTAGTTAACCATTATGTTTTTCTTTGAAACTTTTTCATTTTTACATATTGCTCCATGAATATCATTGGGCTGTTCCATGTTGTGTTTCACAATTAGAACAGTCTTCATATGTTACTGGGCTATCATCTTAATTGTTGATTTACAAGTTGGATGGACCACTAAATGTAATGTATGCCACGCAATATTGTCAGATTTGGGAATTTTAAGATCTTGCTAGTGTCCTATTTCTATATTGTTTTAGTCATTAAGTTACTATTTTTCAGATATTCTACTCATAAAGGTGATCCCTAGGATTCTTGATCACATCCGAAGCTGCTTGTCATCGAATGCTGGTTCTGTTGCTTTTAATATGATTGAATCTAGTCCAAAATCCCATTTTTGGTTGTTCATTATGGAGGCAATGAAAGATCAATATGCCATTGAAAGATTTTCTGAGGAGCTACTACGGCAATTAGCAACTCAGAATGTAAGTGATGTTGAAGCTTATTGGACGCTTTGGTTGTTGTTTCATCGGATTGTCAAGCAAAAAACTAATATTAGGTGAGATGGTGTCACCATGTTATCTATGATAGCAAGTTTGTTGCTATTGTGTTGTTAATATTCTTCCTCCCAATTGGTGCATATTCTGAATGTGTTTTTGATATTAAAGATTCAAAATTCCCTAAATCAATAGCTACAGGAAAAGAACTTCAGCAAAAAAAAAAAATGATTTGATATCTACCGTCAAGCAATAGTTTGTCAAACTCCTATCTATAAATTATAGGTTGCTCTTAATGAGTAAGATCATGCATGTGTATATGAAATCTTGAATCTAAAATGCCTACTCTGGATGATATATCTTGCATTATTAGTTTTTGTTTTTCCCCACAGAAATCATTGCTTCTATTCAATGATTAATATTGTCATTGCTACGACTGGTTAAGTCATTATCTAACTAGTTGTGGTCTCATGATAAAACTCTGATCTGATACAGCAGATACTGACTTTTCATCTGGTTTCTTAAGTTTGACATATAATCACATATAGCTTCAATCTGGAGTTTAACTTTGACACACATTTATGATGTTTGATGCATGAGTGTGTAAAAATACAGTATGCTTACCTTAACTGCACTTTTTAATTATGCTCATTTCAGGTACATCTTTGTTGACAAATTTGTGTTTTGGAAAGTATTTCCTATCTGCTGCTTGAGATGGATTCTTCAGTTTTCGGTTTTTGAGTGCCCACCGAATTTCGATTCTGAGGCAAGAGCCCAGAGGACATCATCTTTTCTAGATGTATTGCATCGAATAATTAGCATTTGGTCCAGGCGTGAGTTTGTTCAATCATCTTCTATGGAGCAGCAAGCTTGTATCCTTCTGAGCAATAGTTTCTTAGTTTATTTTTCTTTTCCGTTACTCTTTTGTACTTCCTTAAGTGAAAATCAGATGTCACTTATGCTGTTGCTTTATGCATTGAGAAAATGTCTAAAGAGGAATTAGAAACAACCAAAGATATATTGCATTCTATTCTTCAAGGAGTCAGCTGTAAATTCTTCTTCTAGATTAAATAATTTTATGTGAATTTCTACCAAAGATTCTATAATATTTTTTTATTAAACTTGGTTCTAAGATTTGTAGGTAGACTGGAGAGCCCAATTGATTTAGTTCGGAAGATGGCTAGCTCTGTTGCATTGGTATTTTCTAAAGTTGTTGATCCAAAGAACCCTCTCTACCTTGATGATGATTGTTCTGAAATTATTGACTGGGAATTTGGGTTTAAAAGAAAGGATGTGGTAACTACAGATGAAACTAGAAAAGATAAACTAAATGGTACTCTGTCCAAGGATATGGAAAAAGATAAACTAGATGCTACTCTGTCCAAGGTTACAGAAAGTGCCTCTCATGCTAAAAGGCTGAAAGATACAAAGCATCATGCTGTAGATGGTGGTAAATTGATTTCAGAATGCAGGGTGAATCATTGTGCTGGCATGCCAAACAATGAACATGCCTCTGCTGAAGAGGATGATGGTGAAGGCAAGAATTCTGATGCATCTTCAAGTGACTCACTAGAACCATATGATCTGTCGGACGGTGATACAGATATGAAACTTTTCTCCCAGCTTGGTGATATTGCTGCAGCATTACGGAAACCAGATGATCCAGATGGTGTAAGTTGCTGTGCTTACTTTATATAGTCATTGTCAGGTTATCGTCTGTCAAAAATTTTCACCTATTTGAAAGTTTAGTGAAGCTATTAATGAATGCCCCCGTTTGAACATTCATAATGCCTTACTTATAGGTGGAAAGAGCACTGGACAGTGCTGAAAAGCTTGTACGAGCAACACCTGATGAGCTTCCCCATTATTCAGGTGATCTTGTCAGAGCATTAGTGCATGTTCGTTGCTCTGATGTAGCAGTTGAAGGAGAGGAAGATTCTGCTGAAGGAAAAAGGCAAAAAGCACTGGTTGCGTTGCTTGTCACATGCCCATTTGAATCATTAGATGTGTTAACCAGATTACTATATTCACCAAATGTGGATGTTAGCCAACGGATTCTGATACTTGATGTCATGACTGAGGCAGCACAAGAGCTTTCAGAGAGTACGATCATTAGAATGAAACATCAGCAAAGGAATTTAATATCAAACATTTCAGGTCAACCATGGTTTATTCCTAGCAGTAGAGGACCACGTGGAGCTGGTCCTTGGAAAGAGGTTTCTGATCCTGGAACTTCTATCAGTTGGTCCCACCGTTATGAAAGAGAAATTCCTTCAAGAGCTGGTCAAATAAAGTCAGGAAAATCTCGTAAATGGGGTCTTGTAAAAGCCAAGGATCCAGAGTTGGAATCATCAAGAAACAGATTTCCTCTTTATGCTGCTGCATTTATGCTTCCTGTAATGCAAGGATTTGACAAAAAAAGGCATGGAGTAGACCTACTCAACAGGGACTTTGTTGTCCTCGGAAAACTAATCTACATGCTTGGTGTATGTATGAAATGCAGTAGTATGCATCCTGAAGCATCAGCTTTGGCTCCTCCACTTCTTGATATGATTAGATTTAGGTAGTAGAAATTTGATTTTTTTTTTTTATATGTGAATCTAAAGACTGATGACCTCACAGGAGTGGTTTTATTGAATTTTCTTCAGGGAGTTATCACATCATGCTGAAGCATATGTCAGAAGATCTGTGCTTTTTGCTGCATCATGCATACTGGTTGCTTTACATCCATCACATGTTGCATCTGCTTTAATTGAAGGTAATCAGGAAATTTCCGATGGACTCGAGTGGATTCGGACATGGGCACTTCATATTGCCGAATCGGATCCAGATGCAGAATGCTCAACGGTATGTATATTAAAGCCCCAACCACAGAACATGCTGTCTCCATTTGTTAATTTTAAATATGAAAATTTTAACTTCGAATTGATTATCTTTATTTGATAATAGTACTCCAAGAAGCAATTTATAGTAAAGAATAGTTGCAATATGATTATTTAATTTCAAAGACATTCAAAATTGCTAAATTTTAGAATCCATGTTGGTTTAGGATTAAACATTCCTTTTCTGAAGATGCTGCATGGTTTCCTGCACTAGTTTTTAATCATTTCTTTACATTTATATCCTTTCCTTTTCAGGCCTCAACTCATGAAATTTTCTACTTGTACATATAGTTGCACCTGAAGTCATTTATGCACATAAATTCCCTCATTCCTTTAACATTTTTTAGTTTTGTTTAGCATGATCCATGAGTCTTACATGTGTCTTATTGCTAAAATGTGGAAATTAAGATATGAAACTATCACCATTATGCCATATATCATTCTAAAAGAAAAATTCTTTGTTTGCACTTTGCCAATAAATCTAAAAAATATAATATGTGATTTATGGATTCTCATTGCAAGTTAGGAACATAAGTATTGGATTTTGTTTTACAAGAAATGAATTTTATTGCTAACAGGTTACAGATTTTCATCAACATATTCTTTGATTTATGAACTTGAAGCTTGGACTACAACACACCGTAATGTATTTTCTTTTCTGAGAAATGAACTTTGTTCCAAACGTGTTGCAGATCTTCATCTAAATGTTCTTAAGTATATTAACTTGAATCTTGGATTACAACACGAAGTAACATAAGGTTACTTGTCTGCATTATTAAGACTAGTTATATAGATAACTTGTTTAATGAGATAACAGTTCGACAACTCTATCAATGACAGATCTGGTTAACTAGCCACACTATCAATGACCAATCTCCATAATGTGAAAAATAGCAACATGAATGCTCTTCTGATTTCATTGGAAATATGTATTGATATTGATACTTCGAATCAATAGCAAATTTCATCAACTAAAGAAGACATTATTAAAGTAACTCTTCCCCATCATCCAAAATCCTCTGTGTGACATTTATGAATGAAAAGTATTGAAAGAATTCTAGTTCATACCTTGGTTACTGTTTTGCAGCAAATCTGTCAATAGATTGGGGTGTCTTATCATATATTCTTCAGCTTATTTGTTTATTCATTTTTTACCTGATACATCATATATGTACTGTGACAACGAGTTATCTTAATATGCAGATGGCCATGACATGTCTTCAGCTTCATGCTGAGATGGCTCTCCAAACATCCCGTGCACTTGAGTCGGCCAAGTCTGTCAAAGCACGAACAAATACCCTACCTTTGAAGTTGGATGATATTATAATACCATTCTCGAACATGAGATAAGAAATGAGAACAATCTGTAGTTGGATTTTGATGTACTTATGCCCTCTTTTTCTATCATTTGCTTGATCTTCTTTATCTTGCAGAAGCAACAAATAACTTGCATCATCCTATGAGGTACAGATACAATTAAAGGTTATTTTATGAACTACATATACTTGTTTAATTTGTTAATATAAGTGAAACACACAATTAGCTGTTTTTCTAACTCTTGTGTAGAATAATGGTGGTATGCTTGGTATGTATCTGTCTGAGCTAAAACCAATATGGTATTGGACTAGTTTCAACATTAAACCAATATCTTTCTTTGACATATCTCATCAGTATCAGTTAATACTGTTAATATCACTGTTCACTCCAAGCTACAAAAGTGCATCTTATGTTCAATGCATTCAACATCTTTAGGGTCTAGTAGAAAACAGCTGGATGAAGCTAGATATTATAATTTCTTTGAATCATGTTACCACTTAATGATACATCCTAATCAGAGCATCATGAATTTTGATTGGACTGTCATACCAGTCCCATAATTTAAGGCTTTATTAGCAGCAGGAGGTTGATACTCATTTTGTAAGGCTATATACTGATTTCATCATTTTGTTTCTTTGACAGTATCAAATAGATGCTGTAGCACTTAACAAGCGTAGGATGCTGTGTCCAGTATTGTTGTTTCTGCTATCTATGTTTGTATGGTTGTTATGGTCTCCACTTGTGTCACATCTACAGGAAATAGTAGCTGAACAGTATATATATATATATATATATATATATATATATATATATATATATATATATATATATATATGTTGAACAGTATATCGTTTGGTATATAGTATGTATCAAACGAATATCGAAATATCGGTATAATATGATATTTCAAACTTTGTTCTAAACTATTGTGTTGCCCGATCTCTCACTGCATTCCACCTGACAGGTTTTGGTTATCCTATGAGGTGTGTCCACTTGAGATAAATCCCTCTCTCAGGTAGAACTTTCATGTTTGTCTAATGATGCATGGTCTAGAATTTGAGTGTTCCTATCATCTATATCATTTTATCTGGATATGAGAAGCTGTAGCACTAACCAATATCTGCACTACAGGAAATAATTAAGTTCTATCTTCTGGAAGTCATGTATGCTTCGCGGTTCTCTCACGTCGACCGCTGTCTCAAAATAATTAAGTTCAAATCAATGGTTGTACAGCCATAAAGCCTTTATATAACTCAATATGTGAATCAAGCCTGCATGGATGCGTGATGGAGGCCATGCAATGTTCCTAATTTTTCGAGTACTAAACAACATATTCTAACCGGGCTTTTGAAAACACGTTCCTTCATGTTTTTATTATTTAATTATTTGAATTTATTATGTTTTTGGAACACAATAATTTCCTACCTTCTCAGTGAAGAAGAGCCAAAAGCACGTCTTCATCCTTGTGTTCCTTTTCTTCTTTCTTCCAGAGACATTGGCCTTTGTTCCAGAAACCTTACGTGCCAAGTCACACTTTATCTTTCTTCTTTCCCATCAGATAATAATAATAATAATAATAATAATAATAATAATAATAATAATAATAATAATAATAATAATAATCAATAAAATAAATAAATAAATCTTGGGGCGTAACATTCTCGATGCCCACGTGACTCGAGCCCCCAACAATCCATGTCACGTGATGGCAAGCTCCACTTGGACCCCATGCGGCTTCCCGCCATTGCGCGTTGAAACGTGGCACCAGGCTATCCTACTTTCGATGCCATGTGGCGTTTTGACCGGCTCGTTAACGGTCCTCGGGCACATCGAACCGTTAGGAGAGCCACGAAAAAGCGATTTGCCATCACCAGTAGTACCGGTTCGCCACGATGTGGGACCGAGACTGCTCCCAATCCATGTCGCTGGGTATTTGGGCGGGTGGAATCGTTGCTCGTCGTATATTTCCATCACCCACCTTGGCTTCCCCTATATAAGGACAAACCCCTGGCCTGTTTCTTGAACTCGAATGCTCGTCTCGCCGTTCTCCTCGATAGCATTTCGACTTCGCTCTAGTTTCTGATCGTGATGGGTAAAACAGTCTTTCTCCCCTTCACATCGTTCATCTTGTTAGTCTTCTATTTGGCTTGTGATCTTATTTGTTGGCTCGGATTTGTAGGCAAGATCAAGATCGGGATCAATGGTGCGCTTCTCTTGCCCTCTTGTCTTCCTTGTATCTCCTTAGAGGGATGTTTCTTTGAAGTACCGGTGATGATTTTTAGGGTTTTTTTGGTTTGTAAATGGAGCGATGCTTTATCGATATACGTTGATTTGTAATCTCGTAGGGTTCGGAAGGATCGGGCGATTGGTGGCGAGAGTGGCTCTCCAAAGCAGCGACGTGGAGCTCGTCGCTGTTAACGATCCTTTCATCACCACCGATTACATGGTAAGACGCTCCTCGCTTCTCTATTCCGTTCTTACTTGAAGCCTTAAGGATCCATACAAGACAAGCTATCTGCTAATGGATTGACTATATGTCCAAGAGTAAGCCTGACTTGTTTGCTCAGATTCAGAAGAGACATGTTCCGTGAACACTCGGAACCCTTGTGGTCACTTATGGAGAAGATGGAACTTCCTTTCTCATCTAAGTGGCAAGAAGAATCGACGACCATGCCATTAGTAGTTAAAATTATACAACTTCTCTAGTCAGATCGAGTCACTTATTTGGTGGTCCATCTCTACAAGAACATGGCCTCCGGTGTTGAGATTGCCTATTTGTTATTCCTGACTTCACTGATGCAGTTTATGATCTTTGTGTGCGCATAAATTCACACGTTCAGAAAAGAAAATCCTATCAAATGTTCCCTCATATTGTTCCTCCGGTTGCAATTTGCTGAATACTTGGTTTGCTCAAACTTATCGCTAGATCTTGTGTTTTATAGCATCTTCCGGTTGGATTGAGTTGCTCACTGTTTATGACTTCGCAGACGTACATGTTTAAGTATGACACCGTGCATGGTCAATGGAAACACCACGATGTGAAGGTTAAGGATTCCAAGACACTTCTCTTTGGTGAAAAGGAAGTCACTGTTTTTGGACTTCGGTAGGTTGGATTTCAGTCTTCTTTTTCCTGATAGTGATCAAACTCAATACTTCATATCGTTTGGAGGATACTTGAACTTACTAGAATTGGTTCCTCAAGGAACCCTGAGGAGATCCCATGGGGTGAGACTGGTGCTGAGTATGTTGTTGAGTCAACTGGAGTTTTCACTGACAAGGACAAGGCTGCTGCACATTTGAAGGTCATCTCTATTAGAATGTTTTTTCTGATGATATTCTCTCAGTTGGTTTTGCTATCATACTGATGGAAGTTTACACTGATGTTTTACTTGCTTTTGTGCATTCTTTAATTCCAGTTCCAATAGTGAACGTTTATTCGACTTAAATGTCCAAAGAAAAGAAATTTAATGCAATTAATTAGCAGTACATATTTTTCATGCTAGCGTTGGATTATCAACCTGAAAAGTAATTTGCATCTAACGGATAAGGAAGGTGGATCAAACTTATTTTAACTTTGCCTTGATGTCAGAGATGGTGTCATGATGGCACTTGATGACCAATCTAAAATGAACAGGAAACTCGATTCAATTTTGCTATTAGGTGATGAATCTTAGTTCATTTAGCTATCGCTCACAAATTGCAACCTTAATCTCTGTCATGCGAAATATTCATTGACTTGTGATGGATATTTTACAAGCTTCAACTTACTGTTTTGAGATTGAGAAAATATCTTCGCTTTACCCTTCCGTTTCTTATCCTTATCTGATTGCTTTTCATAATCATAGGGTGGTGCAAAGAAGGTGATCATTAGTGCTCCTAGCAAAGATGCTCCCATGTTTGTGGTGGGCGTGAACGAGCATGAGTACAAGCCGGATATTGACATAGTCTCCAATGCCAGCTGCACCACTAACTGCCTGGCTCCCCTAGCTAAGGTCTCATTTGCCTTCATATATAGTGTACCTTAAAGAACGTGAAGCCTTTTAGAAATAGAGCTCATCTTATGTATGTCTGGATCATCGCAGGTTGTCCATGATAGATTTGGTATCATTGAGGGGTTGATGACCACAGTACACGCAATTACTGGTAATTTTTTTGTGAAACATAGTATCACTTTTGTTCTTTTTTTGTAACTCTATTTTTATGCTCAATGGTTTTTTTTTGTTCTATTTTCTTTTCCTTTGTTTTTAGCTACCCAAAAGACTGTTGATGGACCCTCTAGCAAGGACTGGAGGGGTGGAAGGGCAGCTAGTTTTAACATCATACCGAGTAGCACTGGAGCTGCCAAGGTATGCTCATACGTTACTCTGTCAACGTTAATCCCCTCTCAAAACAGAGTTTAGTTGTCAGTCACACCCCCATTAGCTGGGGTCATCTTTGTTTGATTCTTCAAATATGTATGTCTCCTATCCTTCTGTCTTGTTTGAATAATGCTTAAAAAATGTTTGAACTTCTAGTTTGATCATGACTTCATACATGACATTCCATATTTCCATATCTGTAGTGTTTGAGCAAGTTTTGGAAACATTAAATGCCATTTAAAGGCCTCATTTCTCATCATATATATTACGATTTTTGAGTTGGCCTTGTTGTGTGGAGATGAATCATCTGAGTAATGTGTTGAATGATTATAAATTATACAAGTTTTATAGATATAAATAATAATTTAATGCTTTTATTATCCTCAAATATTATGGCTTGCATCCTGAGTTTGGATCGGATCGTGGATGAATCTTTTTTTTTAATTTGATTACTGATTCATGTCTCATTTTTTGGTTGATCAGTGGCTTCACTTACAGTTGTGTGTTTTCTTGATTGTCTAGGCTGTTGGGAAAGTTCTCCCTGCTTTGAATGGGAAACTGACGGGGATGGCTTTCCGTGTTCCTACTGTGAATGTCTCTGTGGTGGATCTCACTGTTAGGATTGAGAAGGCTGCAACATACGATCAGATAAAAGCAGCGATCAAGTATGTATTCTGAATATTTTGCTGTAGATACCTATTCTAAAACATTAAATAGTTCAAGTATAATGTTGTCGTATGCATGATATCAGATTTTAGATATATTCTTTCTTTAATAGGAGTACTTGCTATGCTCGATCTCTTATTCTATTTCGTGTGGCTTATGTACGGTGTCAGAGACCTCAGGTATAGTATTTTGATGCCAGAAGACTTGGGAGGTGGTGTAATTTGTTCTGATGGTGGGAGTTCCTTATATGTATATCTTGCATTATTCTAGTCTTACTCCTCAATCATTAATGATAGGGAAGAATCCGAGGGCAAGCTGAAAGGAATCTTGGGTTATGCTGATGAGGACTTGGTTTCGATGGACTTTGTTGGTGATAACAGGTGCTGTCTTATGTATATATATATATATATATATATATATATATATATATATATATATATATATCACAAAGAAATTAGTACAGGAACACTCGTGGTTACTGAGAGTAACTCCCTGTTGCAGCTGCTTTTTATTCTGTTTAATTTGAATCGTTCAAACAGGTCGAGCATTTTTGACGCCAAAGCTGGGATTTCTTTGAATGAACATTTTGTTAAGCTCGTGGCTTGGTACGATAACGAATGGGGTTACAGGTACTTTAAAAGTTTGTGTATCTTAGGTATTTGGTGGACTTCTCCTCTTACTGTCTTTTAAATTATTATTATTTCTTTTTTGAATTTTACAGCTCGCGTGTGGTCGATCTGATTCGTCACATGGCTACCACCAAGTGAAATTTAGTTGCTTAACCCACTATCTGCTGGTGTCGACTTGTTTGTGGTTTATGTTTTCTTTAAAATAATTACCGTGTGATTGGACTCGGGATGGTTGTGTGACGCGACTGATCTTTGTCTTAGTCGAGACTCGCGTGGATCGAATCTGGAGGATCGTTTTTTCTACTGGTTGTGATTGGTATAGCCGGAATCACCAGGCTTCTTGCACCATGTTTTAGCTTCTGGTAATTAGCTGCTACTGTTTCTTTAGACTGAGGTGATGGTGATTAGCCTTGCGGTCGAGAACTTGTGCTCGGTCTGTGGGCTAGTGTTTTCTAACAATTTTACATGTTTCCAAGTTGTGTTTTCAGTTCACTCATGGTCTCTATTTTCTACAGTTCATATGAAGTTTTATTAAGATTTTATTAAGCCTTTGAACCGAGTAGAGTTCTTTTTTTTTTTTTTTGACAAATGTTTGCCAAACACAATGCAGAAAGAAGAACAGAGTCGTTAAATCTCTCTTAACATTCTGTAGTAAAGATCCTCAGAGTACAAGATATTTCTCTGCGAAACCATTTCTCTTAAATCTCTCCGAAACCATCATCATTCTTCTCCTTCCCGTGTCAATAGGATAATCATTCTTCTCCTTCCCGTGTCAATAGGATAAAGATACAAGGCTAGCTCCGTTGGTGATCAACCACAACAATATCCTGCAATCAGGGCTGATGGTAACAGAGATTAACGTGTCATAACATGCAATATGTCGACTGAAAGTCATCCATATTTCTTCCAATCTGTAGATACAAAGCCTACAAGTCCAGTTGAAGTACTTGTAAAAAGTTTAGTGCCTATCCAATAAGAACTATCAAACAATATTGGAACCAAAGACTTCCGTTAGTTAAGCCAGTATTACCTCTATTAAGATTATCTTATAAAATTAAGAAACCAAGATCCAGAAAACTTACATCAAATCTTTCACCAAAGAATGTAGTAGAATATGAAGCAAGTAGAATTTGCACGGAAAGCCAAAATTTTACCTGTAGATTTCCAGCGAGGACTACTGGCTTCGAAGAGTCATACATCCCAAAGTAAAGACCACGATAGACCATAATCCCAACGCATGAAATATTAAATCCTTTCTAAAGTCCAGCAATGCCAAACCCAACTGCAGGGTCTTCCGGTAAACATCACCAAGACCACTGAATTGCCGTTCCCCGCCCTTCTTCGCTGCCTTTGCATCATTTGCCAAATGCGTACGAGCATAGTCCACAGAGTACACGAAAACCACTGAACGAGCACCAGCAGCACCACCTGAAGCTAGATTGCCAGCAAACCATTTCCAGTGTCCATCTTTGTCTTTCTTAAAATTAAACATCCTTTTGAAGGAATCCTTCAAGGTAAAGTTCAGAGCCTGGAAGCGATAAACTCAGTTTATCAGTAAGTGGAGCTGAAGGGGGGAAAAAGCACAATAAGCAAAACGGTAAGAAGGGCAATTGGTATTCCAGAAAGTGAAACTATAAATCAAACTATAAATAATGCCATTTGTTTCATATATATAAAGTGACTGCAAAAATTGTACATTCTTTTTTGTACAAATTATCATAAAACATGATAACTATGGGTAAATTGAACCAACTGGTGACTGGTTAATTTAACCGACTGATGCTCCATTTCCACATTGTAACAACTGCTTGTAGAGAACAGAAATCATTCCAATAAGTAGGTCATGCATCAAAAGCCAAGACCAAGCAGCATGAAGTTTGATGGTCACACAGATTCCGCAATTTTAGTTACCACCACTATGCTGACAAACTAGATTACAGATCAATATCTGAGACTATAACACTGAAATCACTGTTTGATGATGGCTTATCTATGTTCGCAACATAAGTTTTGATATTTAGACAAAACATGATCTATAGTACAAGAATGTCATTAACGAAGAAAAACATATAATGACACAGTAAGAAGAGTTTCTGAGCAAAAGAACAATATCAAAGTAGTTAAAAGACCATGAAAACCAAGCCAAATCCAGCCTGTTAACTACCAGACATTTAAAGAAGCAGGTGCAAACTGAAACTTGACGATCCAACACGCCTTCATGGTGATTTTTGTATGAAGAAATTCTGGGATTAAATTGAATAAATGTGTAACACAAACACATATAAGTTTACCTGAGCGGCAAAATAACGAATGACATTAGCTGTGTTCCCTCTCCATAGAGACAAAGCACCTTCATCCTTAATCGTTCAGGCAAAGCTGTCTCTCATACAAAGATGGCTACACAGGCTGCAGTTCAAAGCTTGTGGACCTCGAGAAAATCTGGACCCGAGGGGGAATGGGCTGGCAACTTTCTGCATTACGATTGGGTGATTAACTTGATCAGCCATGGCATGCCGATAAAATGACCTACAAAACAACCACTTTGAAGTTCTGCAGAAGATATTCTGAGATTCAAGCAACATTACTAAGATAAATTATAACATATGGTCACTGCCATATTAACTCAAAGCATGAGCAATTACCAAGTCGTAGTATTCCTTCAAAGAATTAACATGTCTACAGATGTGGTGAGGTAGGAAAAAGTCAAATGAACAAACAATTTGCATTACAGGACATACAAAATGTAATAGCATGAACAAAATAGAAGGAATAAATCATCATAAAAGCAAACTCTATTGTTAGTTCCAACTGAACTGCCATGATCACGGAACACAAAGTCTAATTACTAGTTGATCATTAAACAACAAAACTTTGCTCCAACTACTGCTACAGCTCTGTTATCTTTGTATTCTTAAAAAATCAATGGGTCAATGAAGATGCAGCTGGCAGATTTTGCGTTGGCTTCATGCATCTCTATTAATTTATAACTCATAGATGAAAAGGTGGATATTCTTTAGAGATCTGAGCAAATGAAGCCAAAACTGCAATCACGAATACCCAACAGGCACCCTTGACAAGGTAATATGGGTAATATCATCCCCAACAATCTCAACTATGTATTATAAATTTAGCCACATAAAAACCGCAAGTTATAAATCAAAATAGGTATCGTGATGAGATGAGAAGCTACAAGCTGCAAGATCTAAAACCTCCAAGTCACCCTGAGAGGTCAACCACCTCGAAAGCTATCGAGGACGGAATTTGCCAACAAGGATTACAGCAAAAGAGAGCAGATGGGATTCGTACACGAAATCAAGTATATAGAACAAAATCACCCTTAAAACCATTGCAGATCTACCTGATCTAACAGTTTGCAGGACAACCAAATCAACAGTCATACCCACCATATCCATGTCTTAAAACAAGATTCCCAACCCTAAATCGATCGAAGTATGAACGAGAAAATGGAAAGCGCGACAACGATATGGAGAAAGAAATAGATATCTACCAAACGGATAGCTTAATCAAAGATACCACCGATCCGAAACTTAGTAGAGAGCACACTTCTAAATATCTTCAAAAAGACTCGAAAATAGAAAGATGGAAGACAAGAATCGATCGATCCACTCAGATACACGATCAGCAATCACATAAACGACAAGGCCTTTAAAATAGATTCATATTCTTAGAAATCAAGAAAGAGTTCATATGGAAGTAGGGTTTTACCCTTCCGAAGCGTCTCCCTCTTGTCTCGGAGACAAGGCGAGATGCGTTGGAAACGCAACGACGAGACCGAGAGAGGGAGTGGAGCGGTTAAGCCACTCCTGTGCTGTATCAAAGGGCTTTCTGTTAACGTGCAAACCATCGTCAGCGGGACTTGATATATTGACCGTTGGATCTCATCAAAGTACCGACGAGCAATATGATGAGCGGCGGAGCTTGATTCTTTGTAATTTGGACCATATATTTCGAAGGTGCACGTGGCGGAGTAAAAAAAAAAATACAACCAAGTCATGCTTGTTGACCCGTTCGTATACCGACTACTGTGTACCTCCTATACGCAGGTGGGACCCGATCAGTGAAGGAAGGCGGCAGTGACGACATTCAAAAAGGTCGTCGGAGGCATACTTCCACCTGCGTGCCGGCCACGTGACCGAACGCCGCTACCTACTGAACCGTGGCGAATCTCTATCGCAATCGAGGCGAACCGGCGGAAACGGCTTTACTGGAGAGGAGAGAGAGAGAGAGAGAGATCAGAAATGAGAATAATAATAATAAATATTTCGAATATCAATTTTCTTTTACTCAAAAGATTATTTAAATCAAGAAAAGCTTAAAAAAGTGCCTCTCAAGACCAAAATAGGGCAGAATACAAAACTCAAGATAATTTTTTTTTCAAAAAAATAGCACGGTAAAAATAGTATGAGTAATAGATTTGAGATTTAAATCTAACCTCATGTACGTTATTTAATATAATAAAAATAAATGTACATGCGCAAAATATGAATATTTATAATATTAACCACACATCACCAAAAACCTCATGCCACAACTGGAACAGGTCAACAACGTTGGCCAAACGACCGATTCCCACGCACGTAAAACGCTCCTCGCAACCGCCAAGCTTTGAGGTAGCATCTCCGACTATCCATCCCGGCAACTGAAACACGCTATAAAACCCTCCTTCCCATCCCACATTCCTCCTCAGGCCTGCACAGGAGGAGAAACAAGCCACCCCAAATAAGTTTCTCTTTCTCTCTCGCTACCATCTCTGCCGTAGCTCCAAGGCCACCGTCGTCAGCAATGGAGATGGGAAAGATCGCCTGTGCCATCCTCGTTGCCGCCGCGTCGGCCACCACCGCCCTTGCAGCCGAGGCCCCGGCTCCCGGCCCCGCCAGCGCCTCCTTCGCGGTCACCCCCGCTTTTGGAGCCGCCGTCGGGGCCGCCGTCCTCTCCTTCTTCGCCTTCTACTTGCAGTAGCCTCAATGAGCGAGAGAGAGAGAGAGGGAAAGAAAGAAGGCAGCCCTATATGGGGAACGAATGACACGACTGTTCTCTTTGTTTGTGATCTATTTCAACGTTGCATCGTCCTTTGACTACCATCGTTGTTGCCATCTTTCTATTATGGAATTAATTTCCGATTGAAATGAATGCACCATAACATTTGCAATCACTTTGTTACCAAAGCTATTGTTAATTCGAATTAGGGAGCTAATCCGACATGAATCTTCCATTGTTATCATAGCCATCAGAGTCAAAGCAAGTTGCATCACCAAACTCCTAAACGGACGACACCATCACATGATGCATAAGCTTGGCAGTGCAACAATCAAAAGAAAACTAAGCACGTCGCCATCGTAATATACACCCAACGTGATGCAAAAGACTCTTCGAGGAGTAATTATTGAGTTTAAATTTCCCAACCGCTTAGAAATTATTATTTCCACCAGAAAACAATAGAAGGTGTATTATGCACTTGTTGGAGGTATGAAAGTGGATCCATCCGTTGGTTGGGTGCTCAATAAATTGTAATTATGAACTTGATTAATTGGCCGTGCATTCAATTTCCGAATGAAAACCTAAATTCAATTAACATACCTATATTTCTATCTAAATTCATCGAAAATAATAAAGTTGAGGCTTTGATAAGGAATTTACCGATGTAGCCTTGAAGGCTTTAAAACTCCCTCTCGTTGCCACTTCCTCTTTCCCACCTATCTTCTTCTCCTTGTTGACTCTTCGAAGTCGTATTTGGATGCCGCAAATGAAAGACTTCGAAGCCCTCGTTTGCGGCGGCGGCGGCGGCGACACCAAGGTGGCCTGCGAAACCCAGATCGAAGCACCGCCGCTGCCCCCGCCGGACGACCACGACCCCCCGCCGGAGTCGATGGTGGCGAGGGTCGGCAGCGGCCGGGACCTGTTCTGGGGCGAGGTGGGCGGCGGCGCCGTTTACGAGCGCGACGACTCGACCAAAGGGAACACAAACCCCAAGGCGCAGGCGCAGCAGCAGCAGCAGCACGCCAAACCCAACTACAAGCCCCGATCCAGCTCGCAGCGCTTATCCGGTGGCCTCCAGTCCAAGCCCCCCATCATCGGCATCCCCGGCAAGATCCAGCACCACTCCGGCTACCTCGGCCGTAGCGTCCGTCGCCCCGCCAACGGCCGCATCTTCCCCAAGAAGCTCGCTCGCCCCGGAGGCGACGGTGGCGGACGGCGCAAGTCCGCTGTGCCCGACGAAGACCCGGGGTCGCCCAAGGTGTCTTGCATCGGGAAGGTCCTGTCCGAAAGGGAGCGGGACCGGTGCCGGAGGCAGCGCCGTCTATCGCCGAGTGAGGAGGAGGAGAAGGTTGGGAGGGTGGAGTCCTCTGGGTGCTGGGCGAGCCTCTCGGCGGTGATCTGCTGCGGCGACGGGGAGCGGCAGGCCGGAAGCGTTACGAGGCAGACCACGAAGGGGGATTCACCGGCGAAGACAGCGGCGGAGAGGAGGACCACAGGGGAGCCGGCGAAGGAGCCGCCGGGGCTTGCGGCGATGAAGCGGTTCGCGTCAGTGCGGCGGCCGGAGTCATGGGGGGTGGATCTGAGGCCGTTGGATCGGGAGGCGGCTGAGTGCGGAAGGCGACGGTCGGTTGGATCGCTGGAGGACGCGCAGCTGGAGTGGCTGGCCGACGGGTCCGCCTCCGTGTGACTTTAGAATTGTTAGTGCAGAAAATATTCTGCTTTTGTTTCCTCCACACGCACGTAATGCTGTTTTTGTTTCTGTTTTCCGGAGTATTTTTTGTTTGCTTCTTCTAGTCCCCTATTATTGGCGGAATTAGTGAGAGATTGTACACTAGTATAATAGTAGTACAACTGTGTGTGAGATTGTAAATGAGCATAATGATAATAATATAATTGTGTGTGTCTTCTTGTGCATCTCCCCCGCCTCTCATCTCTTTTACAATCCCGTGTTGCTACTGGTTTTTGTCTTTGTTGTTGAAATCTAATTTTATTATCGAGAAGGATGTTGTGGAAGCCCCTTAGTGTGCTAACCAGCACAAGATGCCAAACAATAAAATTTGTCCTTGCTGCCAGTGACTTTGTGGAGACTCCCTAGGCCATGATCCACATTCAATATGGTCCCTACCACCTGAAATGTATATTTCTAAAATCAAATATTACTTCTTCTTTTTTCTGTATGGCCTACAAGTTTTGTTATATGAAAGAAAATAAGAGCAAGGATGTCACATCAGAGAAGTAAAAAAATCAAATGACGTCCTCTATTTTTGACAGCATATTTTAGGTAGGTAATAGGACAACAAAGAGTTTACGATGCGTAAGAGTTGTTCTAGAAAAGACTTGCTATGTAAGCTACGACTTGCCGAATAAATAAGAAGAAAAATATGGAAAACAAGGACAGCTAGATAGAAGACGTGATGATGGCACAGTAGCTAAGTTATTGTAAATTTTTAATTATTATAATGATACCCCGCTTGTTGACGTCTCTTCTTACCCATCCCCATCCCCATCCCCATCCCGTCTCATCTCCATCTTCACTTCATCCGCAAATATTCACAAAACTTTCATATTCTCATAATTGATCCATTTTATTTTTTAAAAAAATATTAAAATTAATTAATAATATCAATTTTTATGAATAACAATATTATTTGTAAAATTTATATATCATAATAATATTTAAATATAAATATATCCAAATATTAATCCAAACGATTCATAATTGATTTTTAATCGATTTTTCAAAAACTTAACCCAACCTCTACCCACATCACATAACCTAGTAAAAAATAGGTCACATCCTTCGTCCCCTCCCCATTAGGAGTGGATACCTATGGGTACCCATACCCTCGATATAATTGACACATTAACATATTATTTACTGTATAAGATCATAGTCTTAATGGAAAAATCAAGCCTGTAATTGAAACTATAAGACAGTCCAAATTAGTAGCATAACATCCAATATGACATTGAATAATATTGAACGATAAGAGTATTAGTACAAATCATATTGTGACTATTACCCACTCATGTCAAAAGGAATCAAGTTCTGGAACTCACGAAGCATAATCCCGTAATCTCAATCACAGTAACAACATCAAGCTAACAAGGAATCTTCAACCAATATAAATTTAACATGCAAATCTCAAAAGTGGGAAAGCAGTACTGTGAGAAACATGCATTCAGAAATATCCTCAGCTATAAATAAAGGCGAGATTAAACTGTTCATCTTGAAGAAACTACCGAACTGTTTGTGACAACAAAAATGGGGATATGCTGATGAACTACAGTCTCCTTCCTCTTCTTCCACCCTTTCTGCGGGTGCTGTCTGTGGGGATCGGCGTTACATCCTCTGCAGTAGGAGACAACACATAAAAGAAACTCAGATTTAGATAGTAGTGTAATATATAACGTTTATACAGGACTTTCAAGTACTACCAATCTTAAATTAGAAAAAAAAAAAAAAAAAAACACACCTCTAGACGGAGACCCCCTGACAAATAATATGCTGCCTTGGATATGTTTATATGACTATATGTACAGAGACATCAGATGCATTTCTTGATTGAAGAAATTAATCAAGGTCCTCTGATGACTAAACATAATGAACCTTACAGATTGACACATTTGACCATTTAAAATACAAATTGCATTTTCATGATCAAATAGTTAATCCAGATTTTTCGGCAGACCAATTGACAATCAAGCCTCATGGACCAACACTTTTGCCCATTAAACATGCAAAACACATTTTCTGACCAATAAATAATCTAACGTAATTCAGCCAGATAAATTTTAAACAGGCATTAATTAGCTCATTAGTAAAGCATGTCTGAAACTATGAAGATTAGAACAATACTAACGCCATTTAATACACAAACTATACTGAAGCAACAAGCATGTCTAGGGAAAAAAAAAACACAGTAGCAAAAAGTAGTGCCAAAATGAATGATATACCAACAGTATCACATAACAGAGAGAGAAGATAAATACAAAACAATAGGAAGTTACCAATACCAAAATGAATGATATACCAACAGTATCACATCACAGAGAGAGAAGTGACGATAAATACCAAAACAATAGGAACTTACCAATACGGCCAATTTTCATTCCAGAGCGAGCAAGTGCTCTGAGAGCAGATTGAGCACCAGGACCAGGAGTTTTTGTCTTATTCCCACCAGTAGCTCGCAGCTTAATATGCAAGGCAGTAATACCAAGTTCCTATTGGAAATAACAGAGAAAAAGTAAACATATCAGTATGACCAGAAAATGAGCACAAATGACCAGAAAATGACCTTGCATCTCTGTGAAACATCTTGTGCTGCAAGCATGGCTGCATATGGAGATGATTCATCCCTATCAGCTTTAACCTTCATACCACCTGTAAATAGCAAGATATCCATGTTTTACAGAACATTATCCAAGATAAAAAATCAGTCAATGAGAGACGAGGAGAGAAACTGGGAGGAGGGAGAGAAGCAGAAAGTATAGCAGACACCTATAGTAGATGTGACCAGATACGTCCCAGTCAATGAGAGACGAGGAGAGAAACTGGGAGGAGGGAGAGAAGCAGAAAGTATAGCAGACACCTATAGTAGATGTGACCAGATACGTCCCATGTAAAAGAAAATGCTACACAAAAGGACATCCAAGATTGCCTATCCACGGAGACACTAACGTCTAAACCTACACTGTGCATATTTGTCATATCATCGTCATGTTATATCCTACACATTGTTACAGATCCAAAAACTTTACCGTACTAAGGGTCCTCAATTTTATCTTTCCAAGAACTCAAATTCATGCACTGTACCAGCCTCAAAGGAAAAAAACAAAGGGAAAGACTTTTTTGTATGTAGCAATCCCTACAATGAAATCAGCAAGTCTTAATCACTGCCCACTTCAAACCATGGAAAGCAGTTCACCTATCAAATTATGATGAAAATGAACATTTCAGAAAGTAACATCGTAACTTAACTTTAATAAGATACACATGTTTTAGTTACACAACCTCAGAAATACTCAATTTCAAACTAAATATAACCCTCTTAGATGAATTAAGCACTTCACAAGCGCACTAACAAGTGATATCCACTGAATCACAACAATCAAGCAAAAAAAGAGAAATGTAGCCCAAATCCAGTGATCAATTTAAGGAAAATCGAATACCACTCCAAAGAGTGCCTAGAAATTAAATGATAAGGAAAGGTATCAAAGAACTCTTAGCCACCACACATTCATATTGTGTGGTTATGACTCAAAACACTTCCATAAAGTGATGGAGGATGATCTTAAGGGCCATGCATAGAAAACCAAGAAACAACATTAAATTACATCAAGTGATCAGAAAATGCAAACATAATCAACCAACTGAACTTTTGCATGACAGCCTACTAGATCAATCCTTTCCTCCAACAGCCAGACATGCAATTGTATGGTCATGACTATTCAATTGTCACTTCTTTTGACTTTCAAGCAGAGCCAAGAAATCCAGAACTATTATTCTACCATCTTGCATGCAACACAATTTATCCGAGAATGGTTTTTTTATGCAACAAATACAACTTACTAACAAAATACAACAATTCAACAACATTACCGATCATGAAATAGCAATGTTACTCAAAATTCAAATCAGCTCATGTTACTCAAGATGTACGTCAGCAAGCTAATCTAGGGAAACGGTTGAAAATCTCATCTGATCTCATCCCACAGAAAGAAATGCAGGCAGTTAAAGAAACCTGTAATACGAACAAGTGTTTCCCTCCCAGACAGATCTGTAACATGCTGCAAGCCAGATAAAACAGAACCCGTTAATGATACACTAGAAATCATGTGCCTTGTGCAAACCATCAGCTCGAAAATAAGGCATTGTATCTCACAATGAAAGTGTCATTGAATGATGCAAAGATGTGAGCGACACCGAACACTTGCTCCCCTTCTCGTACAGCCGGCCCAAGAGTCACATTTTCCTCTTTGGGCTCCCTAGTCTTCTTTCTGCCAGACTGCAGATCGCACACGATAGACAATAAACTCAATTAGAGCCTACTCTTGTTAGATTAGAGAAGAACAGAGCAACACCACTAAACAATCAATCCATTAACTCACCCCAAACACTATGCTCGTAACAGATTAAGGATCTAAGGAAAACCATCAAAATTGCTACAGAAACCAAAACTTCAAAAACAAAATCCAGAACCCCCCACTTCATCGAAAATAGAAGAGGGAAAAGAGATGTAGAGGACTCGGAAGACATACCATTATTGAAGCGGGAGAGGCGACGGCGACGGCAAGGTTCGTCGAGGGATGTAAGACTTTGAACCCTAATCGCCGTCCCACTTATATAGTGCTGCTTCCGATTGTGCTTGTCGTGTATGTCGTTACTTTCATCGGCTGATGGGCTCAATGTTGGTTGGGCTTTGATGACTCAGCTCGGTTTGGGCTAATGTCCGGCTTGGAACTTAACCGCGCTCGAGTCGAGTCAGCCATATCGGGTGATCAAGTCAAGGCTAGATCAGGTTCGCCCATGGTGACGATTTAGTGAGGTTGGCTCGATGTGGCCTCAATACAATGATCCAAATTAGTCATTCCCGTGGACTCATTCCCCTTTGTTGAACCAAATTAAATTGGTTCGATTGATTTAAGGTGACTTCGGATCAATTTTATCTTGTTTAAGTCATGATGTCATTATGGGGATAGTTGTTTAAGTCAATTTTTGACATAATCAGTTTTAAACTTGATTAAATGTGATTTGGATTCAATGTGGCCTCAATACAATGATCCAAATTAGTCCGACACCTATGACTCGACACCCACGGTCTAGTTCTCGTGGACTCATTTCCCTATGCTTAGCTCTATGTAGTTGAACCAAATTAAACCGGTTCGATTGATTTAAGGCGACTTCGGATAGA